TTAGAAATTCGATCAACTGAATTCTTGCAACTGAGTGAAAAATTACAGCACGATTAAGTAGTAAAAGAATAAAACGATCAAAACTATATTTTAATGAGCAAAAAAATCTAAATCTCCTCGTATCAAACGATTTTTTCGAATTAATGGATTTTATAAACTATAATATAACAATTAACAGATTTTCCAATTTGTAGAAAGAAAGTAACGTTAAAATTTTAAGTTAATCTGTACTTTGCAACTATTCCGATGCAGACCAGGAAGCAACGATGCTGAATATATGTATCGTCATTTTTTTACCTATGTATCTATGTAATGAAGTTCATAAAATTTCTAGGACACCCTGTATATTGTGTTAATATTATACTAGAATAATAGAGGCTTCATTCTCTTTTAATAATGACAGTCAATGCATTTTATTGTTAACTCATTATTGTAATGAACTTCATTAGTGTTCATATTGTTGAATTAAATAAGTTAAATATTTAATTGCTATTTTGTAAGAGAGTTTTGATCGGTTTTGGTCGCTATAGTTTAATGCGAAAAACCGAACCGTTTGCGCTGCTCGCCCTACTCTGCTAGTGCAGGCCGAGTGGAGGGGAGCATCAGTCGAGTACCTTGGCTGTAGCAGCTCCAGGTAGTTAGTTTGTGGTCGCACGCGAAACAGTGAGGTTCGAATCCGGAGTGCCCTGCCAAGTGACCTGCTGCCAGCCGCCGATTGTCGCCGCACTGTACAAGGTAAGCACCCACCGCCAAAGTGATCGAGAGTAGGTCATATTCTTTTTATTGTTAATGACGTTTACTTTACTGCCTTAACGCGTTACAGGGATAAGGGAGACAGAGATATGTATATTCGCTCAGATAGACGCAACTATGCACCTCTACGGAGGCTGGAGGCTATTTGAACGAATCGCGCGAACGCAAAGACATAGCAAAACTTAAATGCGATTAGGTAGATTCAACTATGCACCTCTACGGAGGCTGGGGGATATTTGATCGGATCACGTGGACGCGAGGAACGATTTCTTTTGTTAAAAAGGAGAGAGTGAGACAGCTAACGGTTAAGGTAGTTCAGTAAACGCACGGGTCGCGAATATTCATGGAGCTAGAACAAGATCTCGCCCAAATCCCGAGGCTGGTTTTGTAGCTCCCGTATTTCTCTAGGTGTGTCGTCCGGACGGCATCCTGCATCAGTGACGCTGGACGGGATCTCGCCGAAATCCCGAGGTTGTCCTGACCGGGCGGTGTGTATGCGGGCTGCGCTTATCCGAACAACGTACAACTCGCCGAGGCGTCGCTAACATCTACGTCACTCTGGGACTCGCGTTTGTGTATCCCACGGGGCACTGTTAACTTCGCGATCGATCCAGGGCTCGCGTTTGTGTATCCCACAGGACGCCGTTAACTTCGCGATCGATCCAGGACTCGCGTGAGTGTGTCACGGGACGCTTTTAACTCCGACGCCAATCCGAGGTCCGTGTTTCGCTGTCAAAATGGACGCCGTTCCGATAAATATTTAGCTGTGACCATTGGGACGCCTGTAACGACGTCGCCGCCATTTAGAGAGTCGCGTCGTAGTAGAGTGCGTTGCTCCGGTATCTACGTGTCTGTGTTCATTAGGACGCCGCTAAATCCGACGCCGATCAGGAACTCGCGTCGTCATATTTAATAAAACGTCATTTCGGGAACGCCTTTTGAATTCGCGTGATAGAATCAGTCAGAGAGTTACGTATCGGGAATAATCGATCAAAACTCTAGAGGTACACGGTTGTTATTGTAAATTTTACTTTACGGCTCTCTAAATATACATTTTATTTCACTATTGTTACAATTCGAGGACGTGAACCTTCTTTGATTACTTTTGTACATAATTAATTAGTTAAATAAAAACCTAGTGTTACGTTACAGTTAATTGTGTGTTTTAATTTCTTTTCATCTCATCACTCCCTGGTATCTCCACTGTATAAAAGCTACCCGTATTGGCACTAGTGGTCTCTCAAACACTTTAAACGTTGGGGAGCCTCACAATGGTTTTATGTGAGAAATATAGCGATTGCTTTTCTTTCAGAAAAATTACCTATAATAGTATTTCTTTTTTTTATTAAAAATTAAAAAAAAAATATTGTTGGGGGCAAGGGACCCAAAAAATATTTGGGGGGGGGGGGCACGCGCCCGCGATTTCCTCGCTACGTCGCGTCACTGTTATTTGGAACGTTTGAAATTGTTTAAAAAATTATTTGTGACGTTTGACAAAAATAGCATTGTTGCGGACCCGTGTGGACTCGACCTAACCTAACTACTAACTATATGTCCCGCCCCCAGATGACCTTAATATCGCATTAAAGAATAGACACCGTAATGATTCATTCGAACGTTCGAGAACAATCGAGTTAAACTGCAATGGAGTGGTACATACGAGAACATTCGAAACCTTCTCTATTCACCTAATGATCTATGGATTATTCGAGAATTCTTTAGCTGTGGGTATAAAATCCGATGGCTGGGGTCTGAGGAGGACAGAAATAAATAGACGAGTACAGTTGTCGTGCTAAATTCAGAATAAATTCTTTCTATATAAATAGTTTGTATATAGTTCTTTAGTCTTTTATTGTTTGTTACTTAGTGTAAATAAATTGTGTTTAAATAAATTGTAACTTTCTATCCACACGGAACCGACGAAAAACGTAATTCGGAGTAAAAATTACTTTTGTGCCTCGGCTGTATAAACGTACAGCGTCGCCTCAAAAAGTGTCATTTTTACTCCTAATAAAACAATATACTATTGTCATCTTTGTACCGAGACATTTTGACCCAGCATTTATACAGGATTATTATTTTTATTCAGTCTTAAATAAGTGCAAATATTTTCCGGACAGGTAGATCTTGATAAAAGAATCATATTTTCTCTTTGCCGTTTTTCAAATAAGTCCAATAGGTATAACCAAGTTATTCAAGTTTGAAATTAAAAAAGAAATTGATTTTTTTTAAATGTTGAGAGCCACCGGATTTTTTCGTTTTTTCCATTTATACAGGATGAGTCTTAAATAAGTGCAAATATTTTCAGGACTGGTAGATCTCGATAAAAGAATCATATTTTCTCTTTGCCTTTTTTCAAATAAGTCCAATATAAATGTTGAGAGCCTCCGGCTTTTTTCGGTATTTGTATCCCTTTTAGTGCCGTAATCATAGAGTAAAGGCGTAACCATGGTAATATCAGAGATTAAGAAATTATACCGTTGGAAAATTTGCGATGAACAGGCTACACAGTTCTAAAAAGTTTCCTAAAATCTACAGGAAAATTTTAAAGAAAAATAAGAGAAAGAATGAGAAAGATTTTGAACATCTTTTTTGTACCAAAAAAAACACATGGGCGTATTCCTGGGGTCGAAATACACCACCCTTAAATATATTGGCGCTTATTTAAGACTCACCCTGTATAACAAAGTATCTTTTAATTTTACCAAGGAATCAAGCACCCATTAAATTGTTTATCATTTTTGTAAGTAAAACATTCTGTATGTTTTAGAAACCTACAATTAAAAGGAAGCTCGGCTATACTTTTTCTCTAAATATTAAGTTACCTACATATGAAACTTTATTAGTGGTTCCATTGTTTGGAAGTTGCTCTTGTTCTCGTTGTTCTAATATTTCTTGCTTCCTGGGAAACCTATTAGAATTTTTTTGGAGAGATATAATTTACACAGTGTAAAATTATTTTAACAAACCTAATAACGGTAGATAGCTAAATAATAATAACCTGAAAAATTGCAATAATGGCTTCATTAAAAACGTTAAAAATTAAATGGAAAATTTATAGGTATATAAATGTATTAATATTTGTAAAAGTAAAGTATAGATTTCAGTTAACGTCTCCTTTTTGCTGCCAGGGCTAACCCGAACCGCCGTCCTCGTCCATATCATGGTCAATGGCCTACCGCCTTGGCAAGTGTCTAAATCGACTCTTACTCACGAAATATCCGATCTCATCCGGCCTCGAACCGGAGTGAATGAGCAGTGTGTGTCAATAGATTTTACACTTTTGCCTTTATTGGACAACAGCACAATACAGAGTTTCGAACCGATCGCCGGTCCATCCTTTAGTATCGCCTTAACTTCGTCGCTTAACTTCGGTGTTCTAATGGGAACCGGTGTTTCGACGTAGCTGGGCCGTTGTTATAATAGTATAATAGTATAATAAGTAAGTATTTATTATTTTAGCAAGAAAAATAAAGAAGTTCTTTGGTTTATATTACGATGACTTGTAGATATACTGGATTTTCAAAAAAAGAGCCAATTAAGGCAAATTCATTTTCTTCACTTCCAACGACAGATTTCTGCCTAATAGGTTTTTCATATACCACACTATCAGCTCTGCGAAATATTAGTTTAACAAACTAATAATAATAATAAAACTTTAATTTTATTTTTTTAAATTAAAATATTAGTTTCATGCTATGCATTCCAATTATTGTACTAACTTATTTCTTTCTAAAATAAAATAAACTATCTACTTTAAAATTAAAATGACAGACACATCTATCACTGTCAAGGATTTTGCCGTTGAACAGACTATACTTCTTAGGTACGTCTTCATAATACTTTGGGCGCCACTTAGTTTTGGAAAACTTCTAAGTTAAACTGAGAATTATAGAAATAAAAACGCTGAGATAAACTAATAACTAAATATAATGAAATGTAAACTGGAATAATTTAATGATATAAAAATAATGATAAAATCTACACTGTTCTGAATATTATGTTGATAATATATTAAATGTAAAGTCTAGCGATCTTTATTAAAAAGATTTAAAATAAAAAAGTCGCTGTCAAAATTTACGGTCATATTATATAAGTATTTTTAATAGAAAAATCTTATTATATGAAACAGTAATGGGTTAACAATTTCCGATCTAGATATTTTAGTTGTACACTCTGTATCGCTACAACACTCTGTATAATTAAATTAACGCACTAATACATTTACTAAATTTGTAAGTACTCACTTTTGGTATTTTTGCGTAGCGACCTGTGCGTGTATCTCTGATGTGCGCGATGTCCAGCAAGTCCATTTCCAAATTTTGATCCACCCAGTACAAGTAAAATCCCTGAGGATCTACACGCAGCGTAACAGGTATCCCGACACCAGAATCCTGAAACAAAAATACAATAAATTAGGAAAGAAATTTACTAGTGTAGTATAACAACCCAAATTCGTTGAACCAAATTGAAGAGGTAATAAATAGTAGGTGTAATACCGTACTCTGATAAAAAAGATAGACTTGAACTAAAGTCGTCATCGTTCTTGAAAAAAAAGTTTAGTGGCAAGAGAATTTATTTTAGCGTAAAAGAAAATATTTTTCCTGAAGAAAAACTCTCTTAACTCAAGAAAACGGTTCTCTTGAAAAATTCGAAAATTTCTCTTGAATCTATTTTCATTCAACCAAGTGCAAGTTACAATGTTTTAAGAAAATAAGAAAAATACGCTAAGAAGTACTTCATTCAAGAAACATGGCCATTTTTCCAATAGCTAAATACTCTTTTGATGAAAAATAATAACGGCACTCAAAGACGATGACGAAGGACGGTATATACAATCAGTCGGCAGTCCGATCAGTGGTACGTCGCATTTCATAGGTCGCACATCATAGTACGCACAGGTTTTGTTGCTTGGAATTTTCCACTTGGAATTTTGCATAATTTGCTTTTTAAACGCATATCGTATAACAAATTAATTAGTGATCGTTATTAACATGCATTTGTCATTTTTTATAGACAAATTTTAGGATATATGGATTCTTTAAAGGAGTTTCTGAAAAAATGGAAATTAGAGCATTTATTTGCTATATTTGAAGGTAAGAGACATTTACCTAATGCACCTGTTTAGATAAAGCATGCCTGATTATAGATAGAATAAGAATATAGGTATCGATTTTCTTATGCAAATAATTACAAAAATTTTAGAATTTCAAGTCGTCGTATTAAAAAATTCAAAATGTGACCAAAGCTAATAATTTATTTGCTTTACTTTGATTAATCGTGATGTAAATTTTTTTTGTAATTTGTAGAGTGATGAACCACCCCAAAAAATACCAAGGAGTGAAGAAGCAGAAATAACTACTATCGAGGAAAATAATATCCCTTTACTTACTATTATACAGACCAGGAAAACCTAAATTTATCAGAAAATAATATACCTCGTAATATGCTTGTATATGATGTATAGACTTCTCTTAGATCAAAATAAATTTTAGTTGAGTCAATAGTATTCACTATTGGTTTAAGAAAAGAGTCTCTTTAATCAAGAAACGGGTCCCTTTTCAATCAAGAATTTTTGCATGAATCAAAGAGACTATTGTTCTTGTAGCAAGAACTTCTTTGCATATTCATTTTGGGTCAAGAGTGAAATACTTTGCACAGATAGATTCTTCTATTCTCTAAAGTAATTTTTTAAAGCTTATGAAAAGATAGTTAATGCTTTGGGTAAAGAAACGTCCTTCTCAGCCCCATTCAAAAGCGCCAATCTTTGGGGTCAAAGTCATATTCATTTCGACTGAGAGGTCCTTTTTTTCAGTGTATGATCGAATAAAAACGGCGTCAGCGATGGCTATGAAATGAAGATCGCTGTCATTTTATATGTAAAATTATATGGGAAATGTCATCGATAGTCATTTCCAAGCCAACTAGACGCCATTTTTTTTCAATCATACGGTATTATTAGTATTTTGGCCAACTGTATAAAAAACACATTTATTGTGATTACCTTGGATGCGCTCGACAGAAGCAATATTTTGGAAAATTTGAGGAGGATAGGTTATGGAAATCAAAGACTAAATTTGTAAATATCCATAGTTATTTTATTAAATGAAATTAAAGGAGTGCCGTACTCTGCCTGGAATTCACGAGTAAAAGAGCACGGCAGAGAAAACCCCGATCGCTATTCCAGAGAATCCAACTCTGTTCTGAAATTTAATTAAAGTGAAATAATAATACAAATACTATCTTCTTACCAAGGTTTGAGCTTTAATACATTCATAACTGAAGAGGTTTTGTTAGTTAGCAGGTCCCCACCTGCAGGTACCGAGGTCCTTGGGATGCAGGAGGCTACTCAGGTAGAGTTGATATGGTTGGTGCCAATATCTTTAGGCGAGAGTTATACCATTTATTGGTTTTGACTGCTGACTTGTTTGCTAAGATATCCGCCCAGGCGCGGTTGGAAATTATAAGTACACGCAACAAAACCCTTATTGTCACACTATCTGGATTTGCGACATAGGGCAACTAGCTTAGGCTCCAATATATCTGTATTGTGGATCCCTAGCCATGTGGGCATTACCGGTAATGAAAGCGCTGATCATTACGCACGTCTAAACGGTACAGATAGGTTATCAGTTTATTCCACGGATTGTCTGCTCACAAAAATCGCCCGACTGTGCAAATCCCTGGTTCAACTGGAGTGGGATCTTCTGGAGGAACCTATCAAACTCTGTAAGGTTTCTCCACATCGAGTTATGATCGTCGCAAAACTGTAGTAATTAACAGACTCATGTTAGGACATTGTAGGTTTTCTCATCAATTTTTGCTTAAGGGCCAACCACCGCCTCTATGTGATAAATGTAGTAATCCTTTAACTGTCAAACATATCCTTAAGGAATGTAGTCAGCTAATTAACCTAAGAGGATGCTATTTGCTAATTAACCTGCTATCTTTCGTCAGACATGTCAGTTATTTTTTCTAGAAGTGAGCAACCAAACCTTTTTAATTTTCTGGAAAGATCGGGATATATATCTAAAATATAGGTATCTAAAAAGCTACATTTTGGTTTAAAGCAAACAATTACTAATTCAACTGTACATATTTTTATGTTTTATTGATTTATTCTATGTTGTCTGTACCATTTACTTTTATTTGTACGAAATCAAAATGTCTGTACTCTTAACATATACAATCTGTCTATAAACGTGTTGTTTAGTAAAATGTCAAATTGTACCGTACTAAAATAGCAGGTGATACGCCGCTAAGTAGCCTTTGATGCTGATGCGGCTTGAAACCTAAATTTCTTCTTCTTCTTCTTCACACTATCATACTGTCAAAAAGTGTTGTAGAAACTACTGTCAAAAATGTTGTCAGAAATAGTGTCAAAAATGGTGTACTGTTATCACAAGTTGTGTCTCAAAAAGTCATACTGAACCAAAAACAACGGCACGAATGTACAGTAAACGATAGCATTTAGATTTAATTTTAAAGTAGAAATTATTCACAGCATAAACGGAATCTATTAAATACATACATATGCTATATAATACCTTTGGCAGATCAAAAAATAAGGAAAGGCTTGAGCACAGAATATTACAACAGAAAAAACAAAATATATGCTTTAGTTAACGCTAGTTAAATAATGAGAAAAATTTTCCTTTGCCCTTAATAACATTCTTTGGCACAACAACCACAATTGACAAAGCAAAAATAACATCAATGCGTCTCAAATAGTGATCTAAGCTATTATTTAACACCTATCATCAGGCCCGTTCCTGGGGTATCTGGCACCTACGTGCAGCATTCTTTGGTGCGCCCTTTTTATATTTAAATCAATTATATATTTTAATCTTAATCTCAAAAATTTAAAGAATTTATATTCTGCGACAAACGAGCAATATGTAATTGGAAATGTAAAAAACTATTCTAATTAAAGTATAAAAACATTTATTAAATAAAGAAAACAAACAAAACCACAAAAATATTTAGTAACAAAAATAGTACCCTAAAGAAAAAAACTGACCCATTTTATATGAAACACATAAAAACAATAAACTAAAAATCGGAAAGAATATGCATGTACTAATTTCTTATATGAAACTATGATCCCTTCCCCGACCCAAACGGTATATTGTGAGGCAGAAAATTGTAGAGAGAAAACAAGCCCTATAACATAGGATACAACATTATAATGAACAATGCTTTCCATAAAATCAATAAAATGAAAAATATACGAAATAATATACATGTACTGATTTCTTTCGAAAATCGACAACTATGAAACTATGATCCCGTCCCCGAGACAAACGGTACATTGTGAGACAGGAAATTGTAGAGCGAAACAAGCCCTATAACATAGGATAGAACATTTTAATGGACAGTGCTTTCCATAAAATCAATAAAATGAAAAATATACGAAATAATATACACGCAATGATTTCTGTCGAAAATCGACAACTATGAAACTATGATCCCTTCCCCGACACAAACGGTATATTGTGAGACAGAAAATTGTAGAGAGACACAAGCCCTATAACATAGGATACAACATTTTAATGAACAGTGCTTTTCATAAAATCAATAAAATGAAAAATATACGAAATAATATACATGTACTGATTTCTTTCGAAAATAGACAACTATGAAACTATGATCCCGTCCCCGAGACAAACGGTACATTGTGAGACAGGAAATTGCAAGAGCGAAACAAACCCTATAACATAGGATAGAACATTTTAATGGACAGTGCTTTCCATAAAATCAATAAAATGAAAATATATACGAAATAATATACACGCAATGATTTCTGTCGAAAATCGACAACTATGAAACTATGATCCCTTCCCCGACACAAACGGTATATTGTGAGACAGAAAATTGTAGAGAGACACAAGCCCTATAACATAGGATACAACATTTTAATGAACAGTGCTTTTCATAAAATCAATAAAATGAAAAATATACGAAATAATATACATGTACTGATTTCTTTCGAAAATAGACAACTATGAAACTATAATCCCTTCCCCGACACATACATACATACATACATATACATACATACAGCCGTTACTCGCTGACGAGTATTCGACACACATAAAGAAAATGGTCACGCAAGGCGTTTTCTTTCATGAGCTTTTCTGTGACTGAAAAGCCCGATACGTGATGTTATCTGCCTACCGCACTCCGGACATTCAAAAATCTCATTGCTTTGTTGCCTCTCTACTTTTTGGTTGCCGCTGTTAACTGAGTTTACAACCCTTCTCCATTGAGTTCTATTGTGAGCTGCTTTTTCCCACTCATTCTGCATGTTAATTCCCTTTAAATTTTCGTGGAAAATGTCCTTGTATCTTTTCAGTTGTCCACCCGGCCTCCTCTTACCGTCCACAAGCTCACC